TCACCAATCGTGAGTCAGAGTATTATAGCTGCGCGGACGCCACTCTGTGGCACGACCAGCGCAACGCGATTCGGCAGACTCCGAGCTGTGTGGCCTGACATTCTCATTCATTTGCTCGTTGAAGAAGGTTGAGCATCCCTGGCCGCCATCCTTGATTCAGATCGCACAGCCAAGGCCGTCTTTAATCTTTTCAGCTCGCTCCTCAAACACCTTCCAGATCGACAAGTCAACGCTCATCGATCAACGCCAGCCGTTCGCCAGCCTTCGCACGGGTCTTGATCATCGAGATCTCTTCGTTCACGACTCGCGTGGCCGATTGAATTTTCGGACCTACGCTCTGACGATATACCGCTGCTGCATACAAGCCGCGTGGTTCAGCTAGCCTAGCTTGGCACCACACCATCAAGCACCAGCAGCAGCAGCAGCAGGTCTCGCCTTCGATCTGCAGTCAGGCGCACACGCGTCTGCGAGGCAAGATCCGACTCAAGACTCGATCACGAACTCGTGACTTGCCGCTGTGGCTGGGCGCATCTTGGGCTGCAACTCGCAGCGGTCGGCGCAGGCGCTAGGTCACGATTGCTCCAAAGCGAAGGAGCTGGAGTGTATAATAAGCTCAATAGGCAGGCGGAATTTGCGCGCCGGGGACACGCAACATACGGGTAGTGTAGTAGTAGTAGTGTACGCTCGCTGTGCCAGCCGCCTTTAGCTGCGCACCCAGCAGTCGTGAGTCAATATTCAGTGATTCGTGATCGAGGTTGCGACAAGGGCGCTTTGCCAGGTCGAGCGCGGCGTAGCGCTACCGAAAGCCCCTTGAAGGTGAGTCGAGTGCCGAGCTTGTTGAGAGGAATCAATCGTGAATAGAGATTCTGCATTGCACGCCCCTTGCCGGTGTCAGTCTGGTCGGCTGAGGCTACTGGGGCTACATGAGACGCGGTCAGCGGCCCGCTTGAGGAAAGCGAGCACCAATCGCACCGAAATTTGGGAGCAGCTTCCGGGGCAGCGGTAGGTATCACTCCGATGAAGGCGTCCAGAGCGCTGCTGTCAAGTGCTTTGTGCATCCTTGTCAGCTTGAGATGCTCGAAACTTATTGCTGAGAGCGACGGACATCGGAAATGCAGCCCGGCATCACGAAAGTGATACAAAGGAGGCCCGTGCAGAGGCTCTTCTTGGTCAATGGACATCGTGCCGGACATTTGTACACACACCCCCCAGCCGCTCGTGTCAGGGCCTTGACCTGATCGCTTACGCTTCGCTTCTCTCTTCTATGTCCAGATCGCTCTTAACTTGATCTCGATCGCAACTCACAGAACTCTGACCGGCAATCAAGCGGTGTCCACTTTCGGAATTTCTTGTGAGGTGGAACCGGATTAACGGCTTGTGTTCGGTTCAAGACCCAATTGTTCCCTCTCCCGAGGCACCACGACCCGCAAGCCCAACGCTAGCTGCACTTTAAGCTTACCTTAGTGACAACATCCAGGGTGAAGCACGAGGGCGTTTGGAAATATCCAATCAAAGCACCACCTGCTTGCTGCCTTGCATCTCACGCGTATATTCCAAAAACTCTTCTCACCTTGGAGCAACAACGAGCACCCGCACCCTAGTAAGTCTTCAGGCTCGCTGGCATCAGCCCTGCAGATTTTGTCTACAGGCTCTGTAGAGAGAGAAACTGTGTGAGCAACATTGACAGGCTGACATTAATACTCACGACTTTTTGGCCAACGGCGACGTGCACTGGCACTCAGCTTCTACCCAATAGGCCACATTCTTCAAACAAGGCAGCACGTCTGCGTGGTTGCTCCGCGGAGATCGCCTATCCGCTAGGCACGGCCAACGAACGCCAGCAAGCCGCTA